GAAGCTTACCCACCACAAACACCCAATCCTTAATAATCTAAATGATAAAAATAAATAGAATCCACCTTAAGTTATAAATGAATTGCATCTACAAATTATTACGGCAGAAGCAACCACAATGCTCTGCAGTAAGTCAAGAGCTATGAAGCCAAACATCTGAGGGGAAACGACGTGACCAAGAGCTGAACAGGACACCATATATGGGTTTCCAACTTCAGTCGCACAACTTCTGTTTCATTTGGTTTCCCAGCATCAGAAAACTACTCCAGCAGGTGCCAGACTTTCCATTTTGAAACATGCAATTCCAAGCATTTCATTGTGGTCTCGGGTTCTAACAGGTGGCTTTGGCAGCTGCATTCGCCACCACTGCCGTCTAAAGGCCTGTTCCTTAAGTGACGGCCTCCGTGTGACAGATGGCTCCCTGTAACTTGACTTAACGCAGCTGCCCAAAGTGAGGAAGAGAAACAGGAAGTAACTAATGCACTCGGATTATCTTGCACAACATGGCATGTCACTTTTAAAAAAGTAATTTACTTTGACTTTTAAACAAATGAAGCCCTTCCTCATTCATCATTAGTTGCTCTCTTGAGTCGGTATTTATTCTTCTCTATTGTATTCATACGATGCCAACAAAGTCCATTCACTTTGAGTTCATCACTCAAAGTGACACTCTGAGCACATGGCACTTTTTCCATTACTGGTGCTGTGAGTTCCTTTTGAGTGTCTGTATTGATCAAGTTCAAGGCTATCCATGGTAGAAAATTGCCTTGCATGATATTCCAGGCACAATGGCCAGCACACAGTCCACACTGGTGCTTAGAGGATTAGTGAGGGACTCTATATTAAGTAACATCTATGTTATTTTCTGAAAGACTTCTACCTGCATTCCACGCATGTTGATCTTTCTCTGTGGCTCCAAACATATAGTTACCCCTGCAATAGTCCTTCCTTAGGCCTAGGTATCTGTATGCCTGTCTTGTCCAATCTCCTCCATGTCCCTCTATACTCAGGACTTCATTGTTTTACAGTAATTCAGTGGAAAACGTTCTATAATGCGATACAAGATAAACCTGGGTCAAACCCCAAGGCTACCTTTTACCAGCTGCAGAATTTAAAGCAACTTAACTCTCGGAATCTCAGTTTCTCCATCTGTATAAATGGGTAGAGCAGGAGGTACTCCATAGGGCTGGCATGAAAATTAATGGCACTGTACCCATCATAAGCATGGCACAATGTGCCAAGGCCTTGCAAACCCTCCAAATTTCTAACTACTGTAATGAATATTGCATTTTCAGTATATAAGACAGTCCTCAGGTTCATACCAGGTATTTAATACATTTTTAAAAGATAGACGAAAGAAGTTACTTTTAACAAGGACCAATTTCAGTTGACTCGCACATGGACAATCCATTTTAGGTGTCACTACAAAGAATTTCATTAAAACTGAGATTTATGAGTAAGAAAAGTAATGGTCATATCCTCCTAAAATTGTGACAGTTTATTAGTAAACTCACTTTAGGAATAATTTGGTATTTAAAACCTGATCAATCTGTGCTTCTATATGACGTAGGAGAGAATAAATTGAAATTTGAGGGGTTTAGTCCTTCACTGGGACCTAAGTAACTTTGTTTCTGTCCCCCTATTGTAAGAGAGCAGGCATTTATTTTGTTTTGCCAACTTTGCTTCAATTTCCCTTTAAGTAGCAACAGAGGAACCAGGAGGAACAGCACTAAAGCGCCTTTGAATGGGGATGTGGTCAAGGCCCACCCCCTAAACAGAAAGAACAGCAACACCCTGCACCATACTTGAGGGTCAGCAGAGTACACACTTCCCTGAGACCGTTTTTTCTTCTTTTAATTAGCGGTTCCCCCAAAACGTTCTCACAATCATGTTATTGTCTTCTTCCCTATGGCTTCCTAACACCTAGTCAAGGAGTTCTCTCCAGAAATATATATTACAGCAGCTACCATGCAAATAAAAAATTTAAGATTTCCATTAAAAAAAAGATACAAAGAAACAATCAGTTCTGAAAATAATTACTAGGGTTTATGTATTGAGAGATACATAATTGAGAGAGTTTATGAATTCAGAGATACAGTTTTGTTTTACGAATTGAAGCCAGTATAAAGTGGGTGTTAATTTAGGGAGAAAAAGGACAAGCATTTTAGAAATTTGAAAGAGTGAGGAAGTAGGGGTGTCAGTTAAGCAGCGGCTTTTCATTATACTGAAGATTTACCCAGAGGAACGTCCTCAGGGACTTTTTTGTAAGCTCTGGCGGGGGCCAAGGCATGGCTGCAGAAGTGCTAAAATCTGGTTCAGACCGGCTTGTCTGCAAATTGCTGTCTGTGTGGTGGTTTTGCTTTTTCAGACCCAAACACTGTCTACCTTTCAAATTATCCTTCAGTGTTGAATGAGGGGTTGAAAGGCTTGCTTCACCTTGGTCTCTGGCTTCCTTCAGAATCATTATAGAAGAAGGAGGGAGGAAAAAAATAAAAAGACAACAATAAAACCAGAGATCAGGCAGCAAGACCACCTTTCCAGTCTCATAACTAGAAAAGGAAGACACGTTCAAGCTGTTAGGAACCAGCCTGAGACTCCAGGCCCGCCTAAGCTCCAGAAAGGCACTGCCGGAGTTTTCAACCATTGAAGGAGCGTAATCTCAACAGCATAAGTGATTCGAACTACTCTCCTACGAGCCCAGGTACTGAGATGCAGAACGTGGAAGGGACTGTGGGGAACAAAATCAAACAGGAGCACCCCAAAACCAAGAACTCTGCAACGGCTGCTGTGAGAATAGGCCCTGGCAAATCCCGCCCGCCTGGCTTCCTCTGCTTCCCTTAGGCAGCGATTTCGATTTAAAACTATAAAAACCAGAAATAGGTCATTAACTTTACTCTGAAGTATATACATTCTTAGGTATTTGGGGGAAATCTTCTGTCAAAATTCTTCAAAGAAACATTGTCCATTCATATTTCCCTGTGACCTTCAGAAAAAAAGAACCTGACTCGGTTTGAAAAATTAATCTTGAAAACGAAACGCTGAGCTGGAGAAGGAAGAAAAAGCGTGTTTAAGTATCACTCCCAGTGATCGCTCTGGCTTCCTCCCAGAGACGAGAACAGGTTGGCTCCTTCAGGAACCGCTTAGCAATCAGGACTCCTAAACACAGTTGTGTTTGACCAGGACTTACCCCACCGGCATCTAATGACCGAGGGCAAGTTCTGAGTCCCATGCCAGACGCACGGCGCCGTCTCAAACTCTTGTGTGGCCTCACATGCGCTTGTCTTGCTCGTTTCCTCACTAGCATTTAACCCCCCCCATCTGGTGCTCTGGGTGAGTTTACTGGGGAAAAGAGATGGCAGCATCTCCCGTCTCTCCAGGGAAACACCGATGGAAGGGGCCGTGGGCAGAGGGGCCCACCTGACGGCTGTCGCGCTGATGGCTGGAGCCATCCCACATCTGATACCGTGGGAATTGCCTAGAGATGGTCACAGCATTTCTGACTGATTTCTTCAGCAAGTCCTAGATCTCTGACATATTCAAAAGATTACTCACAACATTAAAAAAAAATAATAACAAATAAAAAAGGCTTCATGACAGAGAGGACAAGTTCCATGGGCAGGGGAAATAAATGGGGATATGTAAAGCATAATTTGAGGGTTGTATTAGTTTTCTGTGGCTGCTATGACAATTTATATCCACCTTAATGACAAAATAACAGATTTATTATCTTATTATTCTGTAGGTCAGAGGGTAGTATGGGCCTCACTGGGGGAAAAAAAAGGAAAAAAAAAACCAAACAAGGTGTCAACAGGCTGTTTTCCTTTCTGGAGGGTTGAGGGAAGAATTCCTGCCAGAGCCACTTGAGTTTAGGGCAGAATTATTTTTAATGTTTTGGGCCAAGATCTCCCTTCCATTGCTGGGTCTATACTGAGGGCCATTCCCGCCTTCTGGAACCCACCACATTCTCTGGCTCCTCACTGTCTTCATCAGTCTTCAAGGTCAGCAGCAGCCCTTCTCACATGGCACCTCGCTGACCCCTTTCTGACTCTCTCTTCCACTGTTCAACGCGCATGCAACCGGATTGGGTCCCCCTGGGTAACAGGGACCCTCCCCTTCTCACGCCCTCCCTCCCCAGGGAGGTCATGGACCCACAGGGCCTGGGGCTTAGGGCGTAGATCACTCTGGGGGTGACCACGTCTACCCCAGAAACATTGCCGTCCAGAGCAAGACACATTTCAAAAGTATTTTTGTTTGTTTCAAAAGTGAGACCAGCAGCAACTGAACTTACCTGAAACTCAGTTTCCTCATCTAAACGAGTAGAGGCCTCGTGGCAAACATTAAACATGGTCAGGAGCAGAAAGAGCACTTAGCCCTCAAAACCTCTCAACACGTTATAAATGCAAAGCCCCTTAGTCACTGCCATACTTCTACCAGAAGGGACTTGTTTTTCTTGCTTCATTCTATGCTGAACTGTTTATGTCGGAAACAATCACTGGCCATGAGACATAGCTCTAGGGGGCAGTGAACAAAAGAAGTGGATATAAGTGAAACTGGGTTGAGCAGACAAAGCCTACAAACAGGGTTTTAAACAGGGAGACCCAGAGTCGTGAGCACCAGGGTATGGCTGGAAGGGGGGTGGGTAATTCTGGTGGAATTCTTCTTGGTTTAATGAATAACTACCCCCCCACCCACACACACACACACACCTCCGAACCCAGGAAGAGGCATGGCTGGAAGAGACCCGGAGCAAGGTCCAGAGTAGAGGTCGCTCTTACTCAGGTGTAAGTATGATACCAGCCTCATTTCAACAGCTGAGAAGATTATAGCTAATTTCCACGAGGACCCTCACAGATCCTGTTCAAGATATGTATTGCTCTTCTGCCTCACAGAGAGGACAGAGCTGTTCGGTTAATATTTCCAGCTATGCTTTACTATCGGATAGCACATTTTCTCAGTATTAATATTTAATTCCTAAAATATGTCACTTCTTTTCTTGGTAGATGGGCTGGAGACTTTTACCAGGTTTCTTAAAACTGAATTCAGTGAGGAAAACATTGAATTTTGGAAGGCCTGTGAAGACTTCAAGAAAAGCAAAGACCCTCAGCAAATTCTCTTCAAAGCAAAAGCTATATATGAGAAATTTATCCAGATTGATGCTCCACAAGAGGTAACGATGACCGGAAAAATGTACGACTGTTTGGCAAATTTCTGAAAGAGTCTACCTTCCTCAAATTGTACCCCCACACACTCCACCAGGAAGGCTAGTATTTTGTTGAAGCAGACCGGGGTCTTATAGGTTTCTCCATACAGTGCATTGTAAGATGCCACCACAGGGGAAAAGCTATCATTGAAGTTGCGCCTCAGGGTTACTTTTATTCTAGACTGAGAGTGAATGCAATCACTTGCAACACTTAGATTCAGTCACTTGCTCACATTAATCACCTGAGCATAAGCAAACTCTCACAGAAACTAGAGATTTCAGTACGTGGTGAAGGGAACTCAGGAAGTTTGTATCATGCACTGCTTTAGTGCTAGTGCATCTGCCTATACACGCTTTCATTTGCCCTGACATGATTATTCCTTAACAGAGACTCAAAAAATTTCAGACAGAGACACGAGAGGAATGTAATTCGGCAATGGTTCAAGTGGAAACACAAATGTGGTTTTCTTTGACTACAGGCTCAGTGTGAGGTAATTGTGTGATACAATTGCTAAAATGGCTATAAAACTAGCAAATGTTACCTATCCTCAAATGTGAACTCAGTCAAGTTTCTATATTTTTATTCTGTGTTCAGTAAATAGTGTTTCTCCACTGAAGTGGTAGACCTGGGAGTCTCTCCTGTTAAGAGTTCTGCTTGGCTCCAAATTAGTATTGTCCGTGAGGCAACATTGTCTATATGAATATTGGTCCGCACAAAATGACAACTGTTCTTGCTTCAGTGGGCTGTATTCTGTTCTGCAATTCAAAGTATTACCACTCTGTTGTTCCCAATGCCAACCTTATACACGGACCAAAAAACAAGTCAACTAATTGTGTGGGGTGACCCAGGCGGGGAAAGGAAAGACCTCCCCCCCCCCAACCTACACGGCACCACCATCAAAGCCAGATATATCAGCGGTGCTTGGATCAAAAGCATAAAGCACTTTACATCTTTAAAATATATGCCTTTCAGCACAATTCTGCTTGTAGAAACGTATCATAACATAATGAAAAAAGTGCTGGGATACAACAGAAGCCCCACATTCAAACCCCAAATAGGCTCCCAGCTCCTGGTTTGCCATCACTGAGAATCATTTTGGGAGTGACTGGAAATGAGTTGAGCCCAGTGGTCTCCAGGACACTTGCTGTTACAGCAGCATATTATCCTCAGGAGCAGAGAGTGAGAAGGGCCAGCAGCGGAGGGAGACGAGAGCCACCTGGACTGCCAGCCCGGGGGCGGCCACCTGGCCCCTAGGCCCGCGACGGGCAAATCGCCCAAGCGCCCAAGCGCTGTGCCTGCGCCAACACTGAACAGCCTTGTGCTGTCTCTCAGTGGCGTATGCTTCAGGAGACTGACCATAACTGCTCTTTTTTTTTTAAATTATCCAGGTTAACCTTGATTTTCACACCAAAGAACTCATTACTAAGAGCATCACTCAACCCACCCTCCACAGCTTTGACGCAGCACAGAGCAGAGTATACCAGCTTATGGAACAAGACAGTTACAAACGGTTCCTGAAATCTGACATCTACACAGACTTGACAGAAGGGAGACCTCAGAGACCAACCAACCTTAGAAGGCGATCCCGTTCATTCACCTACAATGAATTCCAGGATGTAAAGTCAGACGTCTCCATTTGGCTATAAGGCAAATTAGGTTTGCTTGTTTGGGCAGCAAGCTTGTATATCTGCTTCTAAGATATAGCATATGTTAACAAATGGGTACATCATTTAAAATAAAATGCGTCATGTAAAAGGATTTTAAGAAGATAAATCAAAACTTTTATTCTAACAATACATACTGCACCTGCCAACGTGCTCTGTTAACACCTTTCATTTCACTTCACTCCATTCATAATCAGAAAAGCAGGTGTTAACAGACACTGATAAATGAACACAACGAAAAAATGTTATGATACCTTAAATTATGAAGCTCATTGAAAGATCAATATATAGACAATTTTATCCGTATTATTCTTGTCTATCTGTTATAAAATATAATAAGTACATTCTCTAAAAAAAAAAATCACATGATCATGAACAAAGAAAGAACTTTGCCATTCAATCTATTAATGTATTTTTTGCTAGCCAATTTAGGGCATATTTTATTCTTTTCTATTTTTTGTTTTCTTCTCCTGGTGACTATTTTGCCAAGAATTTTAAGTAACAGAAGTTTTCAGGATGTTATACCTACACATAAAGAGGTATATATCAACAGTTTGATTTTTAAGAGATAAGTAATAATTCTAATTCTTCTCCCATCTACTGAATAAGTATAATTTCTATGCCACACTACATTGTTTCTCCCTCAGTAAGGAAAATCTTTAGGCAAATGCTGCAGGTAATATAAAAAAGATAATGTTTATATTTTACAGAAGGTATTGATTAGAAAATTAGGGTTACAAATCACAGATAAAAAGAAATTGGAGAGAAATAAAATGACTAAATATTGCATTTTAAAACTCATGTGAACGAAAGCCTTTTCACCCCTGAAACAGACAGTATCACTGATTGTGCCATTCCAGCGGCCACCAGAATCTGCCCAAAAAAGGAAAGTATTTCATTTAATCTTCATTTTCTCATTCTTCACATGGGATCTCTGAAGTTCTTAGAAACTCAGGCATAACTTAGGTCCTCCATTTTCTTAAATGCCCGAGTCAGAAAATGCATCTCTAAAGGTAGAGCTACACAGTTATCACAGCAACATATTGTATTCGTGTCGGATAAATACCAGGATTCTCTTCTCCTAATACACAGCACCAGGTGAGTATATCAAATATACCAACCTCTCGAAAGTCACCTTGTTTGTTTAGCCAGAAATTAAACCTTAAATCAGAACTTAATGTGAAACTAGGTTCCTTCCTTCAAATTTATTTTTGCTGATATTATAAATACGTGTAGTGAACATGCACACATATGCATAATTGTTTATAGAAATGCAAACTATATTTTAAAATCAATTGTTTTAGACTTTATTTTATATGTAAAATGCTAAAGACACTACAATTTAATTGATAATATTTGGAGCAATAAAAATTCAGATGATTTTATTTTGCAGAAAAAATGAACTATGTATATTGGCATGGTACCTGAACTTGTTAGCCATAATTTTAGTCATATAAACTCATATATGTGCACAGTTCCAGACCTCCAGATTTTTGGGAGGACTGAGATATTTAATAACTAGTTTTATAGTAAAACTGCATATTTAATTCATTACATGCTCTATTAAAATACTAAGTTTAGATCTGTCTGGCTTTTATACTGAGGGTATGCATTACATATCAAATGAATTAATCTCTTAGATTCATTTTTAAGTAGAAGCTACCTGAATTTTTCGATATTTACTTGGATAATTTTTAAAAGACTTAATTGGAGCTGATGGTTTATTCCTTTGTTTTATAAAAAGCCTCATTGCTTCTTTTTAATACTTTCTCATTGCTTCCAGGATTTTAATGCACCTATAAAATAAATGCAGGAATAACTAACACTGGTTAATATTAATATGATAAGTGAAAATTGAAATTGATCACAGAGGTTAACTTTTTCATGTTTTAAGCCTGAGCCTTTGAAAACATATAAAGGGGGTTATCTGCTCAGGTGTCTTCAGAAGGCAAGCGATGATTCAGACCACATGTCACTAAGAAAAAAAAGGTTCAGACAGCAAATGTAATGCCACCATGCTAAATGAGCACGTTTTTGATGCACATACCCTTTTTTAATGAAGATCATACCGAAGTCATTGAATCATACAGAAAGAAATGTAGCCTTTCACAGAAATGGGGGGCGGGGTAAATTGGTGCGCAGGGCAGAAGGAGAGCCAGAGAATTAATCCCTATGAAAACTTCCTCTAATAAGAAAGAATTTTGTACATATATTAATATGTTGTACGTAACTGATTTACAGACTTTATTAAACCATTATTGAATGTTTATTGGTTTTATTTTACAAGCCCTGAAGTCAACAAGCTTGACAAATTTACTACTTTGTATGTTATTATTCTTTTTTCTCCTTTTAAAATTAAAATTCCTGAAAAATCAATTGAGTTGCATGTGATTTTACAGACAGAATTTTTTTCTCTCTGACTCCAGCTTCCTAAACTAAGTAATGGTTTATTGAGATTATTCTATAAACTCTCTCTTTAAACCACACAAAACTATTCCTGAGTGCAAAAATAAACACTAATACTTCCATTTTTTATTCTATGCATAACATTACATGCAAATACACTTTAGTATGAAAATTGAATCAGGAATGTTTAGATAAAGGAAGCAAAATCCATGTACTATGATTTCACAGTTTTGAAAACAAGATGCTGTGTTAGTTTAAAATACACGGCACATGGGAAGCCAAAGTTTCCCTTCTTCAGTGTGCAAGACCTCCGTGCCACCAGACGCTGTGAGGCCCTGGTGAATGGGAGGCAGCTGGGATTTTGTGAACAGAAAATACCCAACCTGCAGAAAACACCAGAGATTTAGAACCATCCTAAAACATTCTGAGATAAAACAAACAAACAAAAAAAGTTTAGTATTTGTAACTACATGCAAAAAATACATTTGTTTGCTTCTAGGTATTTAAGATTTTTATTTATTTGTTTCTCAGTATGTCGGTATGTTATTGGAAGTCCAAACTGAGGATATTCGGATGTTCACAGAATCAAATCTCTTTCTTTTAATATGTGTTACACCAATTTCAAGCAGCCTAAGAAAAATGTGAAATAAGCCAGTATTTGGTATAAAAAGCACCGTCAAATCCTGAAAACATTAGAGCTAATTGTTGCAGGCACTTTTTTCTGCTGTATGCCAACATTTTAAACAGTGCCATTTCCTTTTCACCCTGAGCAAACAAACTATTTTAACATTTTAATTTTTTTTACCAATTACCTAGATTTTTATTTCATTATGTAATAGGGTTGATGACTTGAAATGCCAAAGGCTCCTCTTAAACCTGAACAATGTAGAAGAGACATTTTCTGAAAAGAGACATTTCCTAAGCAGGTTCGTTCCACAATTTAATTTCTTTCCATGAGGTAAAGGTCAGGGTGAGGCTATGAGAAAGTGAATTTGCATGAGGAATGCACATGGAATATGAAAATAATATAGTATAAAATATTCATAATTCAAGCTTTTAAAACCAACCTCAGGGCTAAGAAAGCAATTATAGGAAATGGTTCAACAATTACAACAAACTTTTTTTGATGGTGTCAACTAACATACTCTCATTCTGAGGGACAGGAAGAGATGGCGCTGTGAAGTAACAAGTTCCAGGACCAGACAGGCCTTCGTAACGCTTCCCTGCTATGTATGATGGCTTCACAAAACGGTTATTGATGCTAGTTCGCGAGCTGCTGGATGACTCTCTCTGCAGTTCTACCAAGCCCAGCACTCATTGCTTCATTGGCTATATCCCATGTTTATTTGTTGGAACAGGATGGAAGTTGCGTTCTTATTTGCAAGAGTGTGGCAGACACCTGTTGATCTGTTTACCTTAAAATCAACTTATTTTAGTGTCATGGGATTACAGTGTCTCTCAGGGTCAGTCAAATGATTCCTACCCCATTCCCTTCAAATAAGAATAACATTCCTCGATGTCTCTTGATTAAAAAGTCTGGTGTTCTGCAACCCTATTGGGCATTGACGAGACTTTCTTGGCATTTTATAAAGGATCCTCTAAAATATTAGCTCAGAGACGTGGTCTTGTTTCTCTGCAGATCTGAATTGCTGTGACACCTTTTAAAAAGCACACTGCGTGGCTCACGCGTGTTCCTCCGGGTTGCTTCGTGTCGCATGTGGCTCTTGGTGTCAGATGGCTCCTGAGGTCTGTTGGCCTCCCTCTCGCCTTCCGCAGCACCCCACACCCGCTCCAGCAACCCCGATGCAGAGTCCGGGTTCCTAGCCATTCTTTGGGCTTTGTCGTCTCTGCCCAGATGAAAACAAGTGAGCCGGGGGGACAATCAGTGCTTGGGGTCAGGGGACACAGTGCTAGGAGATGGAGAACGGACACAGTACTGTGGCCGGAGGGGACATGGCCCACATTTCCTATAGAAGAGCCAAAAATCAGGCATGGAGAGGAAAAATGCACGTTCTACATGACTTCCTTACTTCCTCACCATGGGCTCCGAGTAGGGTCATGCCGCTCAAAATGCAGCTGAATGTTTCTCGCCCACTGTCTTTCTTAAACATTGGACCGAGGAGCTCTTACCCAGCAGTGGCTCGCTTCTGCTTTAGCGGTTTTGGTTATTTTAAGATTTTATCTTTTTTCCCCCGGGTTTGCTTAGTCAACATACAGAGAAGTGGGGCAGCATTACTAACAAGCACTACTGAAGCGCAGCCACTCTGCACCAGCATCCTGCGCCTTCCCAGTTCTGCTTTTCTCCCCCACCCCCACCCCCACCCCTCGGACCCGGAGACACCGACGTGAGCAGCAGCAGTGTGAGCGGAGCAAAGGGGCGAATTCGTGTTCTTTTGGTTTCAGGATAACACGTTCTTGTCTAGTGATATCAATCAGCAATCAAATGAAGAACCACGTTCACTGAGCGTGTAATGCATGTCAAGCTTAGTGTTCCTTAGTGTCCACCTACCAGTGTTTAAACACTAACAGTGTGATGCCTTCATGCCTCTTTCTCAACTGTGAGAATGGTAAAGATACTGTCACCTCCTTACACAGTTCCTGGAGGAGTAAATGAACGGATGTATCTAAAGAACTTAGCTGAATGCCTGGCCATACTGTAAGCACTGAACACACGTTAGCTTTTGTTCCAGGAAGCAAGTCAATTTCCAAACCGCTGAACTACAGACAAAAAAAAATAAAAGTTGTGGATCCTCTTTTCCTATCCCTATTCCTGAAAAGAGAGAACAGTGAAGAACCAGTAGCAATACTTAAATGAGGATGTTCCTTGCCTCGGCCTGTGTGTGCGCGTGTGCGTGCGTGTGCGCACACATCTATTTATTGTGGTTGGCAGAATTCTAAGGTGGCCACGCACGTTTCTCGAGACATTCACGGCCTGGTGCACAGACCTTGCACAGTCCTCTAGCCTTGAGTGTGGGTGTAACC